TATTACACATTTAAAAGCATTGTGCTGAGAAGAATACATCAGCTTCGCCATTGCCAAAGGGATCCCAGGCAATCCCCATCCTGCCACTCAGAACAACACCACCAATAACAAAAAACAAAACCAAAGGAGTTAGAAATCTCTGCCAGTGGGATGTGTAGGCAAGAGAGGACTCTCTTGTTTTGCTGTTGTTTTGAAGATGAGAGACACGGAAGCATGTTTGCATGCCTGAGGAAACGGTCCAGCGAGGAGGGAGACATCTGTAGGGGCAGCAGGGATCCTGTGCGCACATGGAGAGACCAGCTCTGACCAGCATGAAGAGAGCGCACTCCAGAACGTCAGGGGAGGTGGGAGCAGGAGGCTGGGGGAGATGTCAGTGGACACAAGCACATGTTCTGAGATTGCTCCAAGTTTCTCAGGGAAATAAGAAGCAACATGACGTCTTGAGACAGGAGATGGGGGACGAGGTGCAGGGGGCTTGAGCACAGAGGAGAGCACAGTCATCCAGGAGAATGAGAGCAGGCCTCGACTAAGTCGAGGGGTCAAGTGCTGGTCAGTACTGGGTGCAGGTGGGGCAAGTGGTCTTGAGGGTACCACTGGACCATCGTGCCAGACAGCCTTTCCCAGCACTGGCAGCTGCACTGCGAGGGTTCTAAGTGGACAAAAGGCGGCTCTGGACTTGGTGGGGGTTTTCCTAGGGGAAAAAGATGAAGGCGGACAGCCAAGGCAAATAAGCATGCACACAAAGGAATGAAGATCACGGTGAGCCGTGGAGTTGAAGCTGGGATGGAGGGACATGAGGACACATCCTGGAGAAGTCAACTGGATCGGTGGCTCTCTACCCTCCTGCTGTAGCCGCAGCCCGTGGAGAGTTTGAAAAAGATCCAGATGCCCTGGCCACCTCCAGACGATCTGATTCACCGACTAGGGTAGGGTCCATGCATGGGAATTTTTGAGCTCCTCTCCCCCACCAGGTGATTCTGATGTACAGCCAGATTTGAGAACCACTGGCTTATTTATTTCATTACAAATTATTTTATTTTATTTGTATTTTAGAGACAGGTTCTCGCTCTGTTGGCCAGGCTGGAGTGCAGTGGTACAATCATGGTTCCCTGCAGCCTCGACCTCCTAAGCTCAAGTGATCCTCCCACCTCAGCCTTCCGAGTAGCTGGGACTACAGGTGTGAGTCACTGCACCCAGCCCCACTGGCTTCATTGATGTAACTTTTATTATTTTATTTTTTTGAGACAGAGTCTCGCTCTGTCGCCCAGACTGGAGTGCAATGGCACGATCTCGGCTCACTGCAACCTCCGCCTCCTGGGTTCAAGTGATTCTCCTGCCTCAGCCTCCCTAGTAGCTGGGATTACAGGCACCTGCCACCACACCCAGCTAATTTTTGTATTTTTAGTAGAGACAGAGTTTCACCATGTTGGCTAGGCTGGTCTCAAACTCCTGACCTCAAATGATCTGCCCGCCTCGGACTCCCAAAGTGCTGGGATTACAGGCATGAGCCACCACCGTACCCGGCCTGATATTACTTTTAAAGGTCTTATTAAGAGTTTAAAGAGTCCAAAATGGTATAACAGAGAGTCATAGTTCAGATGTCTGTTCTGCTGGTCCTACCTGCCGACTGCAGGCTCTCTTTGGGATCTCCTGAGATGGGGATGGTTGTGCTTGGCCTATCCCTGCAATATTGTCTCACCTATCCCTAAGGCTAGGCTCTCCCACTGCCTTTGTCCAAGATTCTCTTCTCCAGCTACAATCTTACCTTCCCTCATGTGACCCTGCACTCCTGTCTTCCGCCATCTAGAAAAAGTGTGTGTGTGGAGTTTCCTTATTTATCTTGCTGCCATCTGGCTCTTACCTTCCCAGAGCCCCATGGAAGCCTGTTCTTACAACCTGGGTCCTCTTCCTGGGACCCCAGTCCATCGTGGGCACTGAGCCTCCCTCACTGTTAATCTTGGCCAAGAAGTTACCCCACAGGCATTTATATTTTCATGGATGACTTTTTTTTTTTTTGAGACAGAGTCTCACTTTGTCACCCAGGCTGGAGTGCAATGGCGCAATCTCAGCTCACTGCAACCTCCACCTCGCAGGTTCAAGTGATTCTCCTGCCTCAGCCTCCTTAGTAGCTGGGGTTACAGGCGCCTGCCACCATGCCTGACTAATTTTTGTATTTTTAGTAGAGACAAGGTTTCATCATGTAGGTCAGGCTGGTCTCAAACTCCTGACCTCATGATCCACCCGCCTCGGACTCCCAAAGTTCTGTGATTATAGACGTGAGCCACTGCCCCCGGCCCATGGATGACCTTTGAGAACAAATCTCCTCCTGGCCCAGGCCCTAAAGCATACACTCACAGTGGTGAGAACATGATTGGGTCAGTCTTCCAGGAAAGCCTGTGATACTTTGATATAAAGACATTTAGAATTAATTGGGTCAGATATGAGATTTCAGATTGCAGAAATCCTTGTGTAAGCAAAGGCCTTGCAGATAAATAGTGCATGGCGGGTACAGCTTAGCCTTTAGACATAAACACAGTGGCCAGGCTGTGCATTTGCTCTGAAGAGTACCAGGCCCTGTAGGTTACCTTTGCCTGCTCTCAGGACTGGCTAGATAATTTGCAGAACCCAGTGCAAAATGAAAATACAGAACCCCTTGTTCAGAAATTATTAAGAATGTCAAGATGGCGTCTACAGAACATCAAGCCCAGTGCAAGCCTTTCTGAGCACGGGGCTCCCGGTGACTGCACAGCGCACGTGCCCATGAAGCTGGCCCTGCCTGTTATGGACATGCCAGGAACTGGACATTGGGTTTCCCCCCTTAAAACAATGAGTGCATCAAGTTAGGATGTGGGAAGGAACAGAGACAGTCTTACAGTGTTCTGTGGAATCAAAAATATGGTTTCATATGTTTACTTTTCCTTCATTTAAGTGTAGCCCTGATGTCTCTGCGAATATCTGCCATGGAAGAGCCTTTTGAAAGCAAAGCTCTTGCTGGTCTCCTGTGCCCAAGAGTGACCGCCAGTGGAAACAGACCTGGTGTTCTAAATCTCAGTTTTTGTTTTTTTTCCTCTTCCAGGAAAGCTGCAGACGAGCATGTGCACTTCCAGGCCTAGAAGAAAACAGCTTCCTCCAAGTGCCTTGCCTCTTTGCACAAGGCGCTCAGCTCAGAGCTTCCCCTAACCCTGGCAGGTCCCCCCGATACTTCTCTTGGGAATGATGTGGACAAGGTGAGTGAATGAGCCTCCGCTTCTCCCGTCTTTCTTTTTACAGAGTCACCCCACAGGGAGAGATGAAGGAGGCCCTAGCAGCTCAGGCCCAGGAGCCCTCCCAGCAAATGGCCTGGAGTAGAAAATTCCCCACACGATGTTGCTGTTGGCCACTCAGTGAAAAGTCCTTGGCCCTGGCAGCCACTTGTCCTGCAAATGGTGTGAATGAGGAATCCACAGATCAGCGGGAAGGAGGAACGTTTGAGTTTGAAAATGCCAAGAATCATTCCTGAGCTGGCAAGGCTGACCACCTGCATTTTAAAAATACATCGGTACTAGCCTTGAAAACAGACTTTCAGACTTCTTGTTCTGTGTAATGAAAGATCTTTTTCGATAGATAGGCAACAGAATGATTTTTTTAAAAACAAAAATGGACACATTCCATTTTATTGATCTTTATCTAAAAAATACTAGCTGGAAAACAGGAAATATTTAATAGTGACATTTTTTTCATAGCACCAAAGGAAGAATCTGTGTCTTCCTTTTTATAAATTTTTCTGTAGATGCCTTAAGAAGCATTGAACCCATTATACAGATGGGTGAATAAAACACAGTAAGCTTGAGATTTGCAAATCAGATTGGAGCCAGATAAGGATGGGGGCTGGTGCTGGCTTCAAGTCTGACTAATCTTGGGCAAGCTACTCAGCCTATTACTCACCTGACTGTCTACATTGGAATAGCTCCTCCCCCAGAGACGTCTAGAAGATGCTGAGATAATATATGTAAAAACCAACAAGCCCTTTGGGAAGGATACCAGCACATGCCAGGCGTATGCTACTGAAGTTTTATCGTCCTAACAGATAAGCCCGTCCCCAACTCCAGTGAATGACCAAGAGACACAGGCATGAGCACTGAGCCCAGATGACAGCATCTTTTCACAGCAGACCCGGACCCAGCCCCTGGGTGCGCACAATGATGAGCTGTCCTCTGGTTTCCCAAGACTTCAAAAATGAAATCCAGTGATCAAGAGATGTCTGGCCTTGAACACTGCAGGAATTAAAGCCAGCACCCAATTAAAGCCAGTGAGGACAGCACTCCAAGGTTGGGGACCATCTCAGGACACTAATCCTGGTTCCTTTTCTATTTTGCCTGGGTCCCTCCTGCCCATCTTGGGAAGCGGTGGCAGCTGTTGGGGATGTGGGGCCCCAGGTAATTGAAGGATTAGCTCATGTCTCAAATTGCATGACATTCCTCCTCTTCAGCACCATTGTTTTACCCTTACTGAGAGAGATCTATCACTTTCCCACCCCTTCTGCCATGCTAACATGTGTCTGTGTTGGAGGGCAGAGGTGTATTTAGGGAGGAGGAGAATGTTCCGCCTGGCCCTCTTTGCAGAAAAATGAGGGAGTCCCAGCAGACAGAAGGGGGCAGTGGCGCCAAGCTCCCCGAGCTGACCCGTGGCCTCAAAACACTCAACAGATTCAGTCCTTGCTCCCAAACAGGCCTGCTAAGCGATGAAAAGAGTTCTGCCCAAACTCTCAGGAACTGGATTATTGTCCTTCCTGGCTCATTAGGAGCCTGGCTGCCCTCCGGCCAACTGCGTGGGGTCCTCTGGGGGCTGCCCAGCCCAGCCTCCGGCTGCCTTTCCTGCAGGGGCCAGCACAGCCAGTTCCCCTTGGAGAACGCTCCTGGCCGCAGGCATATGTAACGGGCGGGGCTTCAGGGCTTCCAAAACAGGTGACTGTCAACCCCAACCCTGCCCACCCCACATCCACAGCTTCACCCCAAACTCACATGCAGAAAACCTCGAGTCCCATCTTCCTGTTCAGGTCCCTTGCCAGCCGGAGCCACTCTGGAGCCTGGCCGGACTCCAGCTCCCATGTACAAGAGGACTCAGCCGGAACGCTGCCGCCCTCCTGCCTTCCCTCTTCTGCTGACCGGACGCTTCCAGGCCGGAGTATTTGAGAGAAAATTGCCTAGACAATTATAGTGTTCCTTAGAACGGCCTGCGTGGGCACACGTGCCACTTGGTTAACTAGCATGAGAGGAGGTGGCTTGGCCAGAGCAGACATTCAAGACCAACCAGAAATGTCATTTCTGCCCCGTGGAAAAAAAAATGCGCAATACACCTGAACCTGGGCATCTCTTTCCCAACACGCCCTCAGGATCAAGCCTCCCCTTCCCAGCCTGGCAGGGTTGCAGGGCGTCCAGAGTCCAGCCCACGCCTGCCCAGGCTCTCGGCTCTGGGTCCATTGGCTCTTCACACTCACGTCCCTGTGTCCTGGAACTGCCTGATTCTTGTAGATTACTAAAAATCCACAGCTCATGCCCTCCTGCGCCCTGACCACCTGCCCACAGCAACTGTGTCCTCCTCTGAGCCACCACCTGGCGGTTGTCCCCACACAGCTTTGGGTTTTTCTGCTATTGAGTGACTCAGCTTCTCAGCCTTCAGGCTGCTATGGGCCCTAGATGCATGCTGGTCGATTCCGATCAACGAGCAACTGCTTTTGTTTGTTTGCTTTTTTCTACAACTGCGGCTGTGAGTGATTCGGGTGGTCTGTTGGTGGAATGTGGAGCTGGATGGGCCGAGGAGCACAGAGTGGAAAGAGGGACAATTTGCTATGAGTTGGAGATAAGAGACGTGGCATACCGTGAAGCCGGTACTGATGGAAGAAGGTGGTTTTCTTGGAAGGTCAAGACATTTTCTTGAGAGCAATGTCCAGGAGGGCTAGGGAGAGTTCCGGAAGTGAAGGCAGCACCTGAGGGTGGCTGAGGGAACTGGGCGGGGCTGGGAATGCCTCCAGCCCTTTGAGGAGTGATTCTATGATTAGGAGATGCTTGGCCTTGAAAATTGCAAGAATGAAATCTCTTGGTGGGAATGTGTAGCCGACAGCCAGCACCCTGAGTGGCTCCAAGGTTTGGGGACGCTCTCAAGGCACAAATCCCAGTTCCTTTTCGATTCTGAAAATCACTGTGGGTGATTCTGGAATTCAGAAGTGTGCTGACAGCCATGGATTTAACATGACAAGCATTTCCACCCTGTACTCGCTGAGCCCACCGCAGATGCTCCAGGACCAGGGACTTACTTGGGCTTCTGTGTGTCTTCCATAGCTTGCATCAATCCGCCAGGCTCCGGTTGGTGCTTAAAAAAAGATGCAGTGAAGGAATCTGGTGTGGATGAGTGCTCTGGGCATGGACTGGAAGCCTGGCCCCTGTGTCCCTGGCAATGGGATGGTGAAGGACAGAAAGGCAGCACATCTAGTAGTGTCAGGAGCTTGGAGCAGGCACTTGGAAGCATCTGTTAAATGTTACTGATGGAGGATTGACATCACCCACACCTGCATAGCTTTTTTGGTCTTTTCTTTGGAAGTGAACAGTCACAAACAAAAACAACTTTGGTTCAGGTCATTTACAAGCCCAGATCCTCTATCCTTAGAGGTTTCCCACCAGATATACTATTTCACTATCTATGCCAGGAAAGTTACGTAAAACCACACAGAATTTTACCTGACAACGAAATAGACCTTTTCATTAGATCCTCCACCTCACCTAAAGAACTTACACAGGCTGAAATGAAATTGTTAAAGGAATGAACTAACTTGGAGATAGAATCATTGCCTTTGCTGAAAAACATTTTAAGAATATGGGAATATGTAGGGGTACTAGCATAATAGTAAAATGTGCCCATATTATCTATAATTTTATGCTGGGCATTTAAAAAATTATTTTTTATAGCTTTGCCTTTGAGATGATTTGGTTACAAGTTCATAACATTTAGTTTACAACTGGCTTTGATTTCTTGGCATTCATTGTGTATTAGGATTCCCCACAGGGAGAAAATGTAAACTCCAAATTGCTTTAAAATATTATGATTTTTTAAAGGATATTATTCTATGACAGTGAATGAAATGGACATAACATTCCATTTTGTAGATATTTTGTGAAACTTTCATTAGTCTTGATTTTCTTTGGAACAATTCATTCCTGTTCTGGGCTGAAGTATGAAAATTCCCTGCCCTGTGACCCTGGCCCAAGGCTCCTCTTGGATAAAACAGTGTTTCCTGGACCAGAGGGCAAAGTCACAGAAACACGATGTGACGAAATCTAAATAGAAAGGTATTGATTTGTTCTTCGTTCATCAAACAGTTATTGGACTCCAGCATGTATGAGTAGCAGGGAGCCTGGCTAGCACTATACCTCCGCTCCCGCCTCTCAGAGTCAGGGCCACAGGCACACATAGAGCCAGGGAAAATGAGGGGGTAGGGAGGCTGGCCCCGAGGCTCCAGCCCCTCTCCCCCAGTCCTCTCCCTGAGTGGGTGGGGGACTCTTCTGGCTCCTCCAATTTCCATCGATGTCTGCCCTTGGATCTGGTTTTAAACTCTAAGGTGTAAATGAATCATAATGGCTCAACATTTTGTCCCTCCCAGGAGGTACTTTTAAGTCTAAGGAATAAAGATTTAAAAGTAAAACTCTGAATGCCAATCGGGGGTAAGTGAGGATTTGGAGGAAGGTCTTGAGCATTTTCCTAACACTCCTAAAATCATCCCATTCAGTTAGGGCAACAACTATCCTGACGGGTTGGGTACGATGGAAGTTAGTCAATGTTTCAAAGGATGGATGGATGCATGGATGGATGGATAGATTGACGGATGGATGGATGGATGGATGGATGGATAGATTGACGGATGGATGGATGGATGGATGAATAGACAGATCACCTTTATTTTAATCTCAACTGGTCTTTGAAGCTTGATTCATTTTTTGATTTCTCATGGAGCCACGCTAGGGTCGGACACATAGGAAGTTGGCAAAAGTTTGTTGACTAAATACATTAATGAAGGGAAAATTATGTATGCAGAGATACCTGGGGTTTGGGTTACCGGTTTGGGTTCCCTTTGATTTGAGCGATATACATGCTGACAACTTGAGTCTGCAGTTAGTGGATCCTTAGCTAACTTGCTAGAGAAAAGGTCGTGGTAAAACTTGACCTTGCTCTATTCATCAACAGCTTATCCTGTGAAAGTCACTACACTTCCATGAAAACCTTGGTGCTAGGCCTACGATATCTTTGCAGAGGTCTGACCTAAGCAGACTCCTTGTGTTAATAGTAACAACAATCACAGTGGTCCTGAACACAAAGGCAGCATTCATTGTGTGCTAGCTATGGTTTTAAGCATATTACATCTATTTACTAATTTAATCCTAAAACAACTTTTGCTTTAGGTACTCCTATTAACCTCATTTTATGGATGGGAAAGAGACTGTGAGAAGTGAAATCACCCGCCCAAGGTCATACACCTGTAAGTGATGGAGGCAGGGTGTGAACCCAGCACACTGGCCTTACTTTGTGGGCTCCTACCACTACACTGTCTCATGTTACTACCCTGTATCCATTTCCAGGATGAACTGGCAGCCGCAAGTTCTCCCCAAGGCCTCACTGCAGCCCTTGCATCGCGGCATCAGCTCCTTGCACTGCCCAGGTAGTGTTGTTTCTGACTCGGAGTCTGCATCTCTCTCTGCACCACTGAGTTCAGAGGCCCTGAGGAGCGAGCCCGGTCCAGGGCTAGCTTCGCAGTTCATAACCCTTGGGCAAATGTTACAAGGGGAGGGCTGCACAAATGCATCATTTGGTTTCAAACCATGGGTCTCTCTGAGCAGGAATTGCTGGACTGGGCCCCAGAAAGTTGCTGACCCTTTGTCTGGAGTCACAGGGTCTGTGTCCAGTGAGGCCTAGAGGTCACGTGAGGTCCAGAGAGAGAGAAGCACAAGGCAGCTGCTGCCTCTGAGGCCTCATAGGAGCCATGCAGTGAAGGAACCAGGGTTTCTTCTTTCTCCATAGCAACTAGGAGGGCAGCTCAGCCTTGGAAAAGGATCCTCCATCTTTGGTTAAAAGAACGGTGAGCCCAGGTTTGGTAATGATGTAGCTGTGTGAGTTGATGGATGCAAAGTGCCCGGCTTGGTGCCTTATCCATCGTAGGTACTGCCGAAGGAGAGCTTTGGTCCCCCGTGCCTGGAGAGGGCTGTTGTGGTTTGTGGGTTGGGACCTTCCGGATTCCTGGCATTGACAATGGCACTATGTGGGGTGGGGACCTTCTTGTTGGAGGACTCCTTCCCTCCCTGCTGGTGACACAGGCAGGAAAAGAAGCAGGAACTAAGCCAACTGCAATAAAGAAAGAAAGAAGCAGCTTCAGAGCCTCCCTGGCCCTGTAAGAAGCGAAGGGGGACAGGGCCAGATACGGACCCACTGCAGGGATGGGCAGTCTCCGCCCTTCACTGAGGAGGATGCAGGGCTTCCGGCCCCACGGGGGAGGGCAGGGATACAGGAACCTAGACTCATGCTCAGACATGGTCTGGATTTAGAACTGTAGGCCTTGGGGCCGTTTTTTAAAAACAGACCCTTTCCTTAGGAAAATCCCACAAAACTGCCCCAAAGATGAGTGAGGTAGGAAGAGTGTGAGCCCCGTTGGCGCTTCAGAGCCAGATGGGCCAGGTGGATGCCAGTGCAGAAGGTGATCTTGCCCTTGGGTTGGATGGTGTGTAGCTTGGGCAGGATACGGCCGGTGTCTGGAGTGAGTGTGGTCAGCACTTCATAGTTATTAGCCAGTGTGATGAAGGCCATGTTGTTCTCAGGGTTGCTGCAGGTTTTGTTTATTTTATTTTATTTTATTTTTTGAGACTGAGTCTTGCTCTGTCACCTAGGCTGATGTACAATGGTGCAATCTTGGTTCACTGCAACCTCTGGCTCCTGGGTTCACGCCATTCTCCTGCCTAAGCCTCCCAAGTAGTTGGGACTACAGGTGGCCGCCACCACACCAGGCTAATTTTTGTATTTCTAGTAGAGACAGGGTTTCACCATGTTGGTCAGGCTGGTCTCGAACTCCTGACCTCATGATCTGCCCACCTCGGCCTCCCAAAGTGCTAGGGTTACAGGTGTGAACCACCGCGCCCAGCCTGCTGCGGGTTTTGAATGACATACTATGTTGACAGCGTCCTGCTGGGCTTGCAGCCAGGTAGGTAAAAAGTCCCCATTCCACACATACTCAGTGTTGTCCACACACACCATAGTGCTTTCCAACACCATCCTGCCATCTTCCTCCCTCTCATTTCTTAAGATAATCCTTCATGCATAATTTGGGTTAATAGTGCCTCATAGTCTACTTAGAAAGAATCAGATAGAATTTTGTTTAGTAAGGAAATTTCCAAATAGAGAATAGAAAAGTTAACTGATGGCAACGTATTAATAGAGAAGATCAGTGAGGAAATGAATTAAAGAGGTTCCTTTTACACTTTTCTTCTCTGAGGCTAGGTACACCTTAGCTCAGGCTGCAGCTTCTTTGGTGCTGTCAGAGCATAGTTGGTATGAAATGGGAAGTTTCTGAAAGTCAGATGAC